ATGCAGTTGAGTAGCTCCCAAAGCCAATCCCCTTGGCCAAATTGGGAAGGGGCCAAATATGTTTCCCCTTTCAGCCATACATACTGTGGATGGACAAAATCCTGCACCATTTTGAGACCATGGGAAGCCAGTGCTTGTTGGTATTTGGCAGGCTGACGCCTTCCGCCGACCCCCAAGACTTTGTTTCCCGGACTGCCGGACTGTCAAAAACGCAGCACCCGCATCCCCAGCAGGCAGAGCATCACCCAAGGCACCTCCAGTATGATGCCAGCAAAGCTGTGGATGCAAAAGCTGCCTTTTTTCCTGGTGCTCCAAGACCAAAAAGGCAGCTTGCAGCATCGCCAGCGTACCTCGCATTCCCAGGATCATCAGCGATGGTGATGCCGGTGGTGCCAAAAGCATTCCGTAAGAAAGGCTCACAAAAAAAAAAACATCATCATCATCATCATCATCGTCGTCATCGTCGTCATCCTCAGCATCTTTCATCATCATCATCATCATCATCATCATCAACATCATCACCATCACCATCACCATCACCATCACCATCACCGATTTGAGGTCAGGGTTAGAGGTTAAGGTTAGCGGTTAGCCATCATCATCACCACCACCATCATCATCGGCAGCATCACCGTCGTCATCATCATCACCAGCATCATCATCGTCGTCACCATCACCATCACCATCAGCACCATCTTCTTCATCATCATCAAATATCGTCTTCGTCATCATCAGGGTTAGAGGTTAGAGTTTGAGGTTAAGGTTAGAGGTTAGGGTTAGAGGTTAGGGTTAGAGTTTAGGGTAAGAGGTTAAGGTTCGAGGTTAGGGTTAGAGGTTAGGGTTACGGGTTAAGGTTAGAGGTTAGGGTTAGAGGTTAGGGTTAGAGGTTTGAGTTAAAGGCTAGGGCTAGAGGTTAGGCATCATCATCTCAGCATCATCATCATCATCTTCATCATCATCGTCATCATCATCATCACCACCATCATCACCATCATCATCATCATCATCATCATCATCATCATCATCATCATCATGTTTATTGTCATCAACCATCATTATTATCGTCGTCGTCATCATCAGGCTTAGGGGTTAGGGTTTGAGGTAAAGGTTAGAGGCTAGGGTTTGAGGTGAGGGTTAGAGGTTAGGGTTAGAGGTCAGGGTTAGAGGTTGGGGTTAGAGGTTGGGTTTAGAGGTTAAGGTTAGAGGTTAAGGTTCGAGGTTAGGGTTGGAGGTTAGGGTTAAAGGTTAGGGTTAGAGTTTAGGGTTAGAGGTTAGGGTTAGAGGTTAGGGTTAGAGGTTAGGCGTGTCAATATTCCGCCGCGGGACCCCCCACCCCCACCCCGTCAGCTCAAACCTCCACTTAGAACACGCCTCGCCCCTTTGCAGAGACTAACGTTTAACTGGCTATTGCAAAGGGGTCGACGGATTTACAAGGGTATCATCATTCCAGGATTTCTTAGGTGGTGCAGGGTTTCGTCCATCCGCAGTATTAAGGATCACCATGATCACCTGTTGGGCCACTGATTATTTTCCCGGTTGATGTTTAGCGGGGACAGATAGGGAGCAAGTGACCAGAGACCAGACATGCAGCAATCAGCCTCACAGCTTTCCCTTCCAGGCGATTACCAGGACTGCCCGGCCTGGGTCTCTGAAATACTTATTTGTAAGGTTGGTTGAAAGGGAAGCCAAATGAGCTTCGCTAAAACCCTTCTGTTCATTTTTAGTAGCTTTTGAGGCGAAGTGTACTCAAAACCCAAAGTGCTGTCTCTGTGATTATCCAAAGTGTACTATTGTACTTTGCGTACCACGCTGGTACTGAAAAGTTGCGAGTTGCGAGCTGATCCTTTCCAATTTCCACTTCGTGTACTACTGTACTGAATCGCACTTTGAGCGCTACTTCCGGACCAGAAAGGCTTCGCGTAGGCTATCGTCTATCGTGCAAAAGTATTGCTAAGCACAGCAGCGCAAGCCTCGCGTAAGCTCTGCAACTAAACGCTTCTGCACGTAAGCTGAGCGTTGGCGAAAGCAGCTTGTTATCACAGAGCAATCTATCAGGCCTCAAATGGATCACCGAAGCCTCTGTTTTTGTTTTTTTTTTCTGGGTTGCGGGGGGAGGGGTCCCTATTTTGACATACCCAAATGGGATTGAATTACCCTTTGGTGGGCATCATTTCGGTTGGGATTCATGTCCCACAACCACTTTTCAGGTAGTTCCTTCTCGAAGTTCAAAGCCAACACGCAATGACCTCGGATTAATCCGGAGGACCCTAGTTAGAGGACCCCTTTAACATATTATATATATATAATATATTATTTCCTCAAAAGGGGAGCCACCCCGGATTTTTGTACGGTCCCCCGGAATCCGAAGATGGAATTCCTGGAGCTGGTTGGCGTAGTTAAAGACTCGCCAAAATAGGGGACCCTAATTGAAGATGAACCAAAGGGATCCCTCATCTATTCTAGTTATTCCATAGTCTCTATAGTTTCAACTCGGGAATCGGAAAGGACTGCGGATCCGTTTTCAGCTGTCCTGCTCAGTTGGTGGTTGCTCCCGGGCGCCGTTTGGTTTCACTCCCAAAATGGTCTCCCCCCGCCCCCGATCAGGGGGGACACAAAAACAACACTTGCCTCATGGTTGTTGTGTTGCTATGGGTTTTCGGCAGAGTTCCCACGGTTCCAGAAAAGCCATCAGTCCTGACTTTCAATTAAGCCGAAACAGGGCGTTGCCGAAAAGGTTGCTGGGCAACTATGTCAGGGAGGTCAAAAATCGTTGACACTTGGCGGTTTCGCAAGTCCGAGACTGATTCAGAGCCCAAGTTGGGAACCACGAGAAGTTTGGGTAGGTGAACATGTATTAACTTTACTTGACCTTCCAAGATGGTTGGCGGCCACAACCCCCATGCAAACGTTCACGGAAGGGTCGAGCAACGTGCATATGATTCATGCTCAAAGAGGTCTGTTAGATCTTCACGAGCGCAGGTTCATCGATTCATGGCTCAACGGTTCAACCCAATCGTTATGCGTTGCGGCCTTTGCATATACTTTCTGATGTTAGGCAGAGCTCAAACACTTTGCGCCTTTGTTACACTTGGATGTATACATGATTGTTTGGTTTAGTATTATATTGATGTACTGCCAAATTGAAACGGGCGGTGTTCCTGCGTTTCAAACAATACAACAACTCAAACAAGGGGAGTGCGTGTACTTCCGCGAGGAGTTCATGGACCTGGGTACACTTCTCCATCTTGGCCTCTTGGTCGCACCACCAAGCGGAAAGCGCCGCGGAACGGCTTTCGGTTCGGTGTGGGGTTCAGTCGCGAGGTGATGTCTCTGGAGCAAGCGATTGTTTAGGGTTGGGCCTCTTTTGTTTTTTCTGAACGGGTGGGTGGGGTGGGGGGAGGAGGCGGATGGTGGAGGGGGGTATGGTGGATGGTGGGAGGGGGGTATGGCGGACGAGGGGAGCGGGTATAGTCGGTGGAGGACTTGCAAAATTCCGCTTCCGTGTCACGGGGGGGTTGATATGGACACAATATGTACCTTTTTTGCACTTACGTGCTTAGGTGGAGTGTCGAAGCTTTTCAGGGTTGGGTCTCTGACTAGGTCCCCCAGTAGTGCCCTTTTTCCGTTTCTTTTTTGGGGGAGGGTTCCCCTACTCAAATAGACTACAGAAAAAAAGTCGGGTACCAACTTATTCTAACCTCTCTACTGGAGGACTGGAAACGCGCGCCAAGGTTACTGTGACCATGGCTGCCTCCCTCTGGCTGAGTCCACAGCGCTTGCGCGCCAGATCTTGAGAAAGATCTGCCGAGGGGTGAGGGAAGGGCAAGCGCCTAGTCCCCCCAAAAGAGGCAAGACGACCTGCGAGCACTTTAAGGAGCGTGTTGCCAGCGGCTCCCGCTTTTTCCTTATTTGTTTGGTGAAAGGTTCCCCTGAAAACTCAACCAGAAAGGATGCCCATGTCTTTTTTCCATGGTCACTGAGTATCTGGGAGCTCCTCAAAAGGCAAAGCCCCCTTTTGTTTCTGGGGGTGGGGAGGGATACGATTTGGTCAGCGGTTGTTCACCTGGCCATTCCGGTGGCAGGATGGCCGATGGGGAGATTCATAGCCACAACTCCTTAGGGCCGTATTTAAGGCTATTCTCGGCTTACAGCTTATCTAGGCCGACGGGGTCCCGCTCGACTGAGGGGTTGCGGTGGGCGTTGGGATTTGGCAGGTCATCTAGAGGTTTGCTTAGGGTCGCGACACTCGAGCTCACCGAGCGCGGGTAAAGCTTTTTTGTTTTTCCCGATGGTCCAGAACCGATCCTATAATTATCTCCAGTGTTTGGAGTTGTTCGTCCTTGCGGATCGGAAGGTGCGATGTTCTTTGCTTTGCAGCCCTCAGAAACACTTTGCTTTTCCTGGCTCTTCTTGAGTGGGAACAGAGCGCTGCGAAGCACTTTCACGGACACTTCCGATGCATTCATGGCGCTGCCGATGGTTTCCAGCAGAAAGAGGGAGAACGGAAAGGCTATAAGGCTACAGTAACCTTTTTCCAACGACCAGGGCACAGATGACACATGCCTGTGGGTCAAAGCCAAAGCCCTCAATGGTTGAACTCATGTTTGTTCCCGTTGAACACCGTCCACACGAAACAGGTTCTCGAAAGATACCCAGACAGAAACCGCCATTTTGGGAAGGCCTTAGAGAGTGGTGCTTCTTGTTTGGACAAGCAGTATGTTGTTCTCCTCTTGTACCACTACGCACTCCACAGTGGGTGGATGCAATTGGCGGCGTTGGACCTCTAGAAGAAAGCACTGAGGACGTGACAGCGGCCCATACGTTTGTTGCCGCGCTGCGCATGTTTGCGTTTTTGAGGGTACCCCCCTTTTCTTTGTCGGGGGGGGGGTCGTGTTTTTTTTTTGGCGGGGGGTGGGGGTGGCAACAAAAGGGCAAGTAACGTCTTGTCGAGGGCAATCTTGTTGAGGGCGTTTGAACGGGAAACCTGCCATGTCCCTCCCAAAGAGACCAGTGACCAAGCCATGTGAAGCCATGTCCGCGACACTTCGAGCTCAGCTTGCCAAAGCAGGCAGACCGAGTTGCATTGTGAGGCTCAGGCTCGGTTTTTGGTAGACTTCGCGTGAACGTGTCCAGTTTTCAAGGTTGGATAGAAATATCTCGTTTCAACCAACCTTTGGGAGGATTACGGTCGCGTGAACAGGGGCCCTGAAATTTCGCAAGACCGAAGTCACCTTCCAATTTGGAAAAGAAGTGAGTTTCCACTCGGCCAGAAGGTCAAGCAACTTTTCGCAGGGAGGCCCGGATTGTCCAATCCATGGACCAAGGATGGACATTGAAGTGCATGCTCCAAGCACCAGCCAGTGAGCCAAAAAAGTCGCCATGCTGAGCCATTTTGGCATATCCTGCGTTGGATGTTGCCTTTTGAGGTTGGGGGGGCTCCAGAAAGGGATCTCTCACAGTTGCCGAAGAGGACTACCCACATCTTCACCGGAGCTGGTTTTCCGTTGAACACCGGGTGCTGCTTGTCGTCTCGGATTCTCGAAACGGAACCAACGGGAAGCTCTTCGGAACCCGTTGGGTCGCACTTGGTCCTAGCCATAGGGCAGTTTGCTTGCGTATTGGAGACAAAGCTTTCGACCATGCATTGGCGAAAGATGTCGGACAAAGAGCTGTGGTAACCTGAAAATGATTTGTTTGTTTTATCAAAACCGGGGTGTGGGATGAGGTGTTGTTTTCTGCCTAGAGCTGCTGTTTTTTCTCCCCATTAACTCTGATTGGAAGCTCGGGGGGGGGCGGTTGAGTTGGGCGAAGCGAAGGGCTGACAGCCAGGCTGCTGTTGGGCGGGTTTAGGTTGATTGGGTTTTAGGGGGTTTTGGGGGGTTTGGGGGGTTTGGGGGCTTGGGGATTTAGGGTTTTAGGGGGTTTTGAGTTTTTGGGGGTTTGGGGGTTTTGGGATGTGGGTGGAGGTTTGGGGTTTTGGTGGTTTGGGGGTTTTGGTTTTTAGGGGGGTTGGGGGTTTGGGGGTTTTAGGGGGGTTTGGGGTTTTTGTTGTCTTTCTTTTTTTTAAAGCGGGTTTTGGATTTTAGGGGGTTGGGGGGTTTGTGGGTTTTAGGGGGGGGGGGGGTGTTTTTTTTTAGGGGGTTTTGGATTTTAGGGGTTGGGGTGGTTTGTGGGTTTTAGGGGGTTTGGGGGTTTGGGTTTGCGGGTTTGCGGGGGTGTGGGGGTTGTGGGTTTGGGGGGGTTTTGGGGTTTTGGGGTTTTGGGGGTTTGGGGGTTGTGGGTTTTACGAGGTTTGGGGGGTTCGTGGGTTTTAGCGGGTTTTGGGGTTTGGGGGTTTGGGGGTTTTGGGTTTTAGGGGTTTCAGGGGTTAAGATTGGGATTGTACCGTTGCCCCAAACCACCAATCCTAGCCCACAACTTGCGCAACTACACCCTGAAGCAGGAACACCTAACACAAATCAGCTCCAAGCCAACCCAAACTACCCAAAGTCGCGCCCAATCCTTCGCTTCGCCTAAATCAACTCCAAACCATTCCAAGACTGACCCTCATGAATATGTAATCCAGCCTACCCCCCCCAGCTTAAACCAGCCCCAGCAACTCCCAACTGCCACCCAATCAGAGCAATAGAGGTAGACAACTCCAGATCCAAGTGAGGCTGGTGATGCTGGGGATGTTGCCAGCCCTGCGCAGAACCAGCCAAAAACAGACACTTTTACCCCACGGTGTGTGTGTGTGTGTGCGCGCGTGTGTATCTGTGGAGTGTGGTGTGTGTGTGTGTGTGTGTGTGTGTGTGTGTGTGTGTGTGTGTGTGTGTGTGTGTGTGTGTGTGTGTGTGTGTGTGTGTGAGTGTGTGAGTGTGTTGTGAGTGTACCCTTGTTGGATGGTTTTGAAGGCCGGCTATAGACAAACTCAGCTTTCGCCATGCATGGATTACAAGAGATTGGGTACTGCAAACATATGTCAGCTTCCCCTTATTTGGTGTTCCAGTGGTTCAAGTGTCCACCCAATGTGCAAGCTCCAAGCACAACAGCCTGCCAAAGACGCCCCCCTGCATTTGTGCTTTAACCTTGTGATTTGCCCTACAGGGGATGCCTTGTGATCTCACTGGAAATCTTTCTGCCACCCGGGGTGTTTGAAGGGATGGCATTGAGGGTCCCAGGGCAGTTCCAATTCAAGGCCCCACCATTGTTCAAGAATGTCAAAGCGGCAAGTTTGAGAGCGCTGGCTTGAAATTCTCTGACTGCCAGCGCCATTTTCCTCTGGGACTAGCCTGAGCTGACAGAAAAGCGGCAATATTGATCATGTCCTCCAGCAACTGGGATGAGGCCTTGCCGCCATCGTGCCAATGTCTCATGTTCAAGCTTGGCCGCAAAATGACGCAGCAAGAGTTCCTTGTGCGTTTCAATGTGTTGTATGGGTATGACCTCTCCGAGTATTGCCCCTACAACTTCGTTCACCTCCCTTGGTCCACGCTGGCAATCGTAAACTTTGTGAACGGGCAGGCGTGTGCAGACTGCTGGGTTCGGACCAAGAAGCTCATCGTGACGGGAGAGATGAAGGGCGTACAACCAGCCGCCCACCACGGGCTGGAGAGCAATTTGGTGGACTACCTCTCCCGAGCCAAAGGGATCTCCAGGTTGCCCCCCCTTGTGTTTGACCGGGGAATTTGCATGTCCTTGGCTCAAGCATGCCGCATGCTTGGGATAGGCTTGCGCACCAAGAAACCCAACTTAGTTCAGATTCACTTGGACCTTCATTCAATGTCTCAGACTGCGGCTTGGCACTACCTGAAGCAGATGCCAGGCACGCAGATTCTGATAGACCTTTGAGCCGGCCAGTGAGTTGGAACTTTTGCTAAACCCAGCCCAAACTCGGGGGCAAAGTCCCAACCCTTCAGAGAAAATAGATGCAAACATCAGCTCGCTTCTTTGGCAGCAGCCGTTCTGCGTAAGGCTTGGTCAACTATCAGGCTAGCGCGCTATGGATGTTGCCCCCCAGAAAGCTGCTCCAGGAAAAGCCTGGCTTGCAATGTCAAGTATAACAAGCGAATTATCCTTTTTCCCAAACCAGCGGGCTTCTTTGGGGTGGCTTCACTGAAGTTGTTCCCGCCAAGCCACCAGAGGGCTTGGTTTCTTCCAACCAGGTCGCCCCGACCATAAGTGCGAACTGGAAAGGCCGAGCAAGCCAGTCTGAGAAGTCATCCAAGATGTTGCAAGTTGGGCAATTTGTTTACTCACAAATACGCTTCGATGGCAAGCGCATGTTGGTGAAACTGGACTCAGTGTGATTCTGGCTGGCATCGGTTGTCTCTAAGGAGTGTTTCTCTGGGCACACATCGCAACGGGATCTTTTGTTAGGGTGAGTCCAGTTTTAGAAGCGGCCTGCGTTGTTCGAAGTCATTCCTGGTGGCGCTGATTTCGGACAAGCATCCGGGACCCGGTAGCAAGCAGCAAGGCGTTGTTGCTTCCCCCGCCTTGTGCGTCACACCGCCAACGGAAGCTGATCGGGAAGGGGTGAGAAAACTAGTTTTGTTTGGTGAACTTCCGTAATTTCCATGGTTGTTGAAACCGGGTACTTAGTTCGCCAATCGGGCTTGATCGGTGTCCCGAGTCAACAGACTGCGACTTGCGCAACAGATTTCAGAGTTCAGAGAGACTCCCCCTCTTCGTGCTTGCTTGGGGTCAATCAGTGCAGCAACACCAAGACTAGCTATTGAATGTGAGTTTGTTTACAAACAAGCACGGCGCTTCGGAGTCGCTTATTGAAGCAAACTCTTGGACAGCCATCGCGGCATCCCATGATTCAGCCGGGCGGGCGATTTGATTGATATTCACCTTCCACCGGCTGGCCGATTCAGGATGCGAGACCGAGAAACGCCGAGCGAAGCTCGGAATGAAATTTGGCCCGATTCAGCGTGCATTTCCGGACGACTTGGTCCGTCTGTGCAGTGGAGCAAATGTACAGTCTGCCAAATTCATCCCGACAGAGATCTTTGGGGTCTTCTTTTTTTGGCGACATGGATTGTCGATTGATTGGAAGGACGCCTTGTGCAGTGCGATATTGTTCATTTGCTTGGAAATGCAGCACTCCATTTTGGGGGTGTGTCGCTAGGGTGCAACATACTTGGGGGGTTCAAGCAAAGGTGTCGAGCCTTCGCGTCAGTCCACAAAGGGCGCCCAACTTCCATCAGATTCACGTAGACCTTCCTTCGTTCGGTGTCTCAGACTGCGGTTTGGCACTACCTCGGGCAGATGCCGGGCACGCAGGCTTTGATTGACCTTTTGGCCGACCAGTGGGTTGGAACTTCTCGCTATACCCAGCCCTGGCTGGGGGGCCAAGTCCAACCCTTCAAACCGCAGCTTGCGGTTTGCTTTTTTCGGCAGCAGCCTGTTCTGCACAAGGCTGGTTCACATGGCAAGCTTCAGGAAAAGCCTGGCTTGCAACGTCAACAAGTGTAACAAGTGGATCGATCCCTTTTCCAAACCAGCAGTCCTCTTTTGCGTGGCTTCTTGTTCCCACCAAGCCGGCAGAGAGCTTGGTTTCCAACCAGGTCGACCATAAGTGTGAACTGGAAAGGCCGAGCAAGCGCAGTCTGAGAAATCATCCAAGATGTTGCAAGTTGTGTGCAGCGTGCTTATGCACAACAGCGCTCGGATGGTTTTTTTGCAGTTGACTGGACTCGCAATGTGTCTGTGGCATTGTTTTTCTCTGAGGAGTGTTGCTCCGAACAGATTTGTCACGCACGCATCGCGACGTTTTTGTTTGGCAGGTTGAGTCCAGTTCTATTAGCGGCCTGGGTTGTCCAAAGTCATTCCTGGTGCTTTCCCTTGCCTACTGCGGAGTACGGAAAGGCATCCGAAACCCCATTTTGAACAAACCCGTGCAAGTTCTTTTGCAGGTTGCCAAGGTGCTGCTGTCATGTGGCAAGCGCCTGGAGGAGAGAATAGTCTCTGAAACTTGTCATGAATAAAATGTAATCAGATGAGCATTGCTTCAGTCAAAGCTGCAGCCAAACAGGACGCAGGATGCGCCGTTGTGCAAACATACTGGCGATGCATCTTTAGCCAGAACCATCCAATCTAGCCACATCTAGCCAGTGGCTTAGCCTATTGTTTTGGGGACGAGCAAATGAGCAGAGGTGATCTATTCATCTGGTCTTCGGGGTGTGTGTCGCTCGTGGTGCCTTTCGGTGTGGCAAGCCATCGCCTCGAGGCCCAGGAGATGTGCATTGAAGAGCGGTGAAGCCACGGCCAACCTGCCGCCAAAGCCCATAGGTGACTTCCGGGCTGCGCGTCAAGACTTGGCCTTGGGCTGCTGGCGGCCCGCCACGCCAGCCATTTTGGCCTCAAGCTCGAGCGCTAAAACGGAAAGTGCAAGGTAGTGGATCCGTGCAGGTGAGTCCTTAAACGGTTGCCTGGCGCAGCAGCATCGCCAGACCAGGCCAGCTTAGATAGGTGGACCTCATGGATGCAGATGGGCTTGTATGGATGATGGTTTCAGACGATGTGTGTGTGTGTGTGCTGCTGGGTGACCCGACCTTGACTTCACATGCTATGGCAGTCATTTCCGCAACTTCCTCCGTTCCGATGTCAATCCGCCGAGCCAGGTTTTGACTTGGCGCTATGTTTTTTCAGAATGGTTCTGCGCCGACCTTCCGGCCTGCGTTGTGTTGGTAGCTGAAAATGGTTGGCTGCAAGGCCTGCTTTTTGTAGTGCAAAAAGCGTTGGGCTTTATAGAGGCAATGCCCCTCGCGCTCTTGAAATGCACATGGCCGCCTTGGGTTGTGCCAACCTGAGTCTCTTCACACCTGACGGCATGTCTCACTTCACCTGTAGGTTCTAGTGCCCTAGCGGAGTCGCATCTATAAGGAGAGCAAACGGGAGGTTTCCATGCACCAACAAAGAGCTCCCGCAGAGTCTCTTACAAGCATCGCATGAACATTTGGGATACACACATGAGAACTTTTAGTACCGGATGCCAGTTCAAAGCAGGAGGCGCGGATTTCTTCAATAGGCCAAAATCACCCTGCTCGACTGCCCCTCGCGACACGTCTGCTTTGTGTGAACCATTACATGTTGCACCCCAGAAAACCTGTTTTTTCCGGACCGCTCACCCAAGCGCACGCGTCGCAGCAGGAGGTCTTTGAGCTGGCCCCATTGATGCCCTCCCGGATTTTTCCGGGAGACCGTGGGCCACACCTTCGGGGGAAGCTGATCGAGTAGGTGTGGGAAGACCAGATTCCTTTTGAGACCAAGAAGCGTCGAGCAAAGTTCGCGCTGGAATGCAGAGCTCACAGCGCCCGACAATCTTCGGCCTCTTTGTGCGACAGCAATGTGGTGTGCGAAAAGCTCAGTTTGTACTTCACCAAGTTTCAGTTTTCATTTGACAATGTTGCCTATGCGGCTGATGCGCTCAATTCATGCCATATCTTGCCCTTTGGAAAATCCATGTCCTTTGTGCACCCCTGTATAACTCTGGAGTTCGGAGAAATGATTGCTTGAGCACGAAGACTGAGTCAAACAAGGGCCCTTTGAGACTTAGTTGAAATCTGTACACAGGCAGCGGAATGCGCCTTTGCGGCACTTGTTGTTGCCAATCCAATTAGGAAGAGATGAGAGAGGGAACGCCACAGGAAGAAAATCTCAGCTGAGCTTTGGCTCTAAGATTTTGAGGGTTACACGGCCTGACAGATTTCCCGGGGGCTGCTTCCGAGATGCTCACCCGTGAAGTTTCTCCACGTAGCAGGAAAGGGGAAACTCAATCTGAGAAGAATGGCTTTAGGCTGCCATGTGTTGTTTCCCCTCCCCTCTCCCGACCCCCTGCGACGATTTTGCAGGCCTGGACCCTAACAAAACAATACTAGCCTAAATAAGCAAGTTGCAAAATAGCGCTGTCAACCTCCCCTGAAACAAAAGGCAAAATCGACCTCATGTGTCCACCATTTGCGTGTTGGGGGCAAGCTTGGTCTGCGCAGGGCGTGCCCCTTTGACACGTGCTCTACAAGGCGTGGGCTGAGGCGTTAAGGCGTTAAGGCGTTGGGGCGATGGCAAGGCTTGAGCATGCTTGGCGTATGAGCTTGAATCCCATGGTGTTTTCGGGGGTCTCCTCCATTTTGTTGGAAGGGTAGACCAAATATGGGCCAGATGGAATTTCCAAGGCATAACCAACCACTGCTCAGGGTGCCTATTTCTGGGAGATTCCGAAATGTGGTTTCTCTTCCTTACCTGAAAAGGATACCCAGCCAACAGCACACGGACACACACACACACATGTTGTTTCTGCAAGCGTCTTTGCTCCTTCTGGCGGCTTGGTACACTAACCTGCGGGAGCTCAGCCTGAAGCCTTCCGCCATCCTTCCCCAATTGGCAGACGGCAGATGCGCTTGGTCAGGGTTGCCGTGGTCGTTGCGGGGAATCCATGAAACAAAAAGCGAAAAGGGTAACGATGTGTCATTGAAACGTTTGGAGGATACATGTGGCTAAATATCCATCTAAAATGATCTGACTTCAACTTCCCTGACAGAAGCAGCAGGCACAGGTTTTGAGGAGCGTTTGGGATTGAGCAGCTGGTGTTTATTCCATGCTTTTGGATGCCTCCGATTGCAAACGTTTCCTGAAGCCAAGCAAACGAAACAACAACAAAGCAAGAGCAGCACCCACCTCTCAAGCACAACAAACCATGGCACAAATCCGGCTACGCAGAAACACACAGTTCAGATTCCCCATATGAGACATGCCGATAACCCAAGACACTCTCACTCCCAGTCTCCCCAAATGGGATTTAGGACCATTGGTCCACGGGTCAACAGGGTGCTCAAAGTGAACAGCGTGCTTGAAGTGACAACATCCTGCACCAGTCGGGATGGATGAAGCTTCGTGAACATGTGCGCCAAACCTGATAGACAACACGGGACGTCCGAGAGTCAGATGAATACACCCCAGAAACTGATTCATATGGGCAAGTGGGATCAACAGGGCCAAGGATTTTGTCTTGCGACTTTGCAATTTGCGCTACAGGCGCCGAAGTGTGTGGAAACCTTTCTGCCAGCCCATTCCCCAAACACAGCAACCATCACCCCCCCCCCCTTGTCAAAGACATCGCTTGGCGAGAAAGATTATTTTCAACCGAAGTTGAAGGGATTCACACACGTGTGCAGGAGTTTCAAGGAGGCAATTGAGAGCACTGGCTTGAAAGTGTCTGACTGCCAGCGCCGTTTGTTTCCTCGTGGGACTAGCCTGAGCTGACAGAAAAGCGGCAATATCGATCATGTCCTCCAGCAACTGGGATGAGGCCTTGCCGCCTTCGTGCACATCTCTCATGTTCAAGCTTGGCCGTAAAATGACGCAGCAAGAGTTCCTTGAACAGTTCAATGCGTTGTATGGGTATGACCTCTCCAAATATTGCCCATACAACTACGTTCACCTCCCTTGGTCCTCGCTGGCAATCGTTAACTTCGTGAACGGGCAGGCGTGTGCAGACTGCTGGGTTCGGACCAAGAAGCTCATGGTGACGGGAGAGATGAAGGGCGTACAACCAGCCGCCCACCACGGGCTGGAGAGCAATTTGGTGGACTACCTCTCCCGAGCCAAAGGGATCTCCAGGTTGCCCCCCCTTGTGTTTGACCGGGGAATCTGCATGTCCTTGGCTCAAGCATGCCGCATGCTTGGGATAGGCTTGCGCACCAAGAAACCCAACTTAGCTCAGATTCACTTGGACCTTCATTTAATGTCTCAGACTGCGGCTTGGCACTACCTGAAGCAGATGCCAGGCACGCAGATTCTGATAGACCTTTGAGCCGGCCAGTGAGTTGGAACTTTTGCTAAACCCAGCCCAAACTCGGGGGCAAAGTCCCAACCCTTCAGAGAAAATAGATGCAAACATCAGCTCGCTTCTTTGGCAGCAGCCGTTCTGCGTATGGCTTGGTCAACTATCAGGCTAGCGCGCTATGGATGTTGCCCCCCAGAAAGCTGCTCCAGGAAAAGCCTGGCTTGCAATGTCAAGTATAACAAGCGAATTATCCTTTTTTCCAAACCAGCGGGCTTCTTTGGGGTGGCTTCACTGAAGTTGTTCCCGCCAAGCCACCAGAGGGCTTGGTTTCTTCCAACCAGGTCGCCCCGACCATAAGTGCGAAATGGAAAGGCCGAGCAAGCCAGTCTGAGAAGTCATCCAAGATGTTGCAGGTTGATCAATTTGTTTACTCACAAATACGCTTCGATGGCAAGCGCATGTTGGTGAAACTGGACTCAGTGTGATTCTGACTGGCATCGGTTGTCTCTAAGGAGTGTTTCTCTGGGCACACATCGCAACTGGATCTTTTGTTAGGGTGAGTCCAGTTTTAGAAGCGGCCTGCGTTGTTCGAAGTCATTCCTGGTGGCGCTGATTTCGGACAGGCATCCGGGACCCGGTAGCAAGCAGCAAGGCGTTCATGCTTCCCCCGCCTTGTGCGTCACACCGCCAACGGAAGCTGATCGGGAAGGGGTGAGAAAACTAGTTTTGTTTGGTGAACTTCCGCATTTTCCATGGTTGTTGCAACCAGGTACTTAGTTCGCCAATCGGGCTTGATCGGTGTCCCGAGTCAACAGACTGCGACTTGCGCAACAGATTTCAGAGTTCAGAGAGACTCCCCCTCTTCGTGCTTGCTTGGGGTCAATCAGTGCAGCAACAGCAAGACTAGCTATCGAATGTGAGTTTGTTTACAAACAAGCACGGCGCTTCGGAGTCGCTTATTGAAGCAAACTCTTGGACAGCCATCGCGGCATCCCATGATTCAGCCGGGCGGGCGATTTGATTGATATTCACCTTCCACCGGCTGGCCGATTCAGGATGCGAAGCTCGGAATCAAATTTGGCCCGGTTCAGCGTGCATTTCCGGACGACTTGGTCCGTCTGTGCAGTGGAGCAAATGTACAGTCTGCCAAATTCATCCCGACAGAGATCTTTGGGGTCTTCTTTTTTTGGCGACATGGATTGTCGATTGATTGGAAGGACGCCTTGTGCAGTGCGATATTGTTCCTTTGCTTGGAAATGCAGCACTCCATTTTGGGGGTGTGTCGCTAGGGTGCAACATACTTGGGGGGTTCAAGCAAAGGTGTCGAGCCTGCGCGTCAGTCTACAAAGGGCTTCCATCAGATTCACGTAGACCTTCCTTCGTTCAGTGTATCAGACTGCGGTCTGGCACTACCTCGGGCAGATGCCGGGCACGCAGTTTTTGATTGACCTTGCCGACCAGTGGGGTGGAACTTTTCGCTATACCCAGCCGTGGCTGGGGGGCCAAGTCCAACCCTTCAAACCGCAGCTTGCGGTTTGCTTTTTTCGGCAGCAGCCTGTTCTGCACAAGGCTGGTTCACATGGCAAGCTTCAGGAAAATCCTGGCTTGCAACGTCAACAAGTGTAACAAGTGGGAATGATCCTTTTTTCAAACCAGCAGTCCTCTTTTGGGTGGCTTCACTGAAGTTGTTCGGCAGAGAGCTTGGTTTCTTCCAACCAGGTCGACCATAAGTGTGAACTGGAAAGGCCGAGCAAGCGAAGTCTGAGAAATCATCCAAGATGTCGCAAGTTGTGCAGCGTGCTTATGCACAACAGCGCTCGGATGGTTCTTCCAGTTGACTGGACTCGCAATGTGATTGTGGCATTGTTTTTCTCTGAGGAGTGTTGCTCCAACAGATTTGTCCCGCGACGTTTTTGTTTGGCAGGTTGAGTCCAGTTCTATTAGCGGCCTGGGTTGTTCAAAGTCATTCCTGGTGCATCCGGAACCCCATTTTGAACCAACCCGTGCAAGTTATTTTGCAGGTTGCAAAGGTGCCGCTGAAGTGTCATGTGGCAGGCGCCTGAGGAGAGAATAGTCTCTGAGACTTGTCATTAATGAATGAGCATTGCTTCAGTCAAAGCTGCAGCCGCCGAGCAAGACGCAGGAAGCGCCGTTGCTCAGAAATAGAACAAGATAGATGAAGCTGCGCGGATCTCGGTTACAAACCGCTTTGGGCACGCAACGCTTTGTGACAGCCCGTTGCATTCAGGCAAGTTGACATTGTGGCAAGGCATTTTCCGGCCTTTGCGCCCAACAGCTTGGCCAGCGATGTGCCCCGAACCATGGTGTGGCCGCTTCTTCTTGTTTGGGGGGATCAGGTCTGGCTTCCTTCCTCGGGATTTCAATCTGCCCGACCTCTTCTTTGCTGACTTGGCGCAAGGGTTTTCGGGGCAGTTTTGCGCCGACCTCCCAGCCTGCATGATACTTACTTGCATTGGTGATTGCCAGTCATGCTTGGCTGCAAGGCCTGCTCTTTGTTGCGCAAACACCTTTGTCGGGGGCAAGATGCAGGGAAAATCCAACATAGCATGGAGCTCGTTCTTTGGGCTACTCAAGTAGCGTAGCCAAAAACAAGGTCTGAACCCAGTCTGCAAGGAGTCTGAAATCAGTTGGTTGGAGCCAATAGTTGTGCTTCTGCTATAGTGCTCGCAAATCAAAGCTCTCTGGTATCTTGTAGCGGTTCACCTTTGGTTGTGATTGAGGCTCGGGGCCCCACTTGCAGGTTGGCAGGTTGCAGCCAAATTGCACTTCGCACCAAAATCCCACCCGTCGCACCCACCACCTCAATATTTGCCAGCCGCAGCCTCAATCCCAATCAAAAGCTGACTTTGACCTGCCAATCAGAAGCACAGGAAACGACTGAGTTCAGACAGGGCGCAGACTGGGTTCAAACCTCTTTCCGGTTGTGCGCGTTTCCGAATTAGCTGATGATCTTCATGAGCTGTTGTCAGCTAGACTTGCAAATTTGTAACTCATGTAGATCATAGTTACAGTAACGGGTAATGCTGTAAGATTTCTCAACACACTGAACATCCGTATATTCTGCCAACCTGACCAGTGCTTTGAGGGGGATGAGAATGATCATGATGATGATGATGATGGCTTGACATGATGATGATAATGATGATGCTTGCACCTCCAGCACTGCAAGCGCTGCCTTCAGTACATCGGATGATGATGGCTTACCATGTTTTTGAT